ACTGGGCTGCCTGCGTTTCCTTCTAGCTCTGCCACTGGCCTGGCGACCTTGGAGTAGGCGCTTCATTTCTCTGCCCCTCAGTTTTTCCATCTATAAATTAAGGCCCACAATAGTTTCTATACTTCAGGCACTGGTGTAAGAATTTTCAAAGTTAATACAGGGAAAATATTTAGAATAGGCCCTGATACATATAAAAATGCAAATGAATTTTGGATGCTATTGTTGAACTATTCTCCTTTCATCTCCACTTCCCCACGCATGTCTGGCACACTACCTGACATGCAGAAAATACTCAAATCTTGTGTGCTGAACTGAAATGCAGTTGTACTGACAAAACCCTGGCTGTTCAGGGTTTTTTTGTTTATCAACAACAACCTACTGCAATAATTTGCAATAATTAAATATGCATCTGCCTGTGCACGTCAGGCAGCACGGACCCAGACTCCGGCACTTACCACACCTTCCATCCTCTTCCAGAGTTCCTCCAGCTGAGTCATGGGCTGACACCACCAATCAGTGCACTTTTTGTAACGATTGCCTTGAAACCAAAACTGTCTCAGCCACTCGAACTCGACCTGTGAACCACAAAGGAGGTGCTGATTATAAGGCCCTTGTAATGGACGAGCAAAGACAAAACCTTTCGTTACTCAGTTCTCTTCTCTAGCTTCACAGCTGTAGGATGAGGAAAGGGGAGAAGAGCTCAGCCTGACCAGTTCCCGGTATAATCTGGACTCTGGACTATTTCCACAAACTCAAGGAAAGAACAGTCTTAAAGGTCCTCTTGGAAAGACAACCCAGTTCAGGTTGGGGAAGGGTTCTTAATCATACTATAAGTCAGACGTGAGCAAACTATCAAGCAATCAACAACAGATATTGAGATCCTAAATTATACAACAGCCCGATAGGAAACATATAATAGGAAAGATATAATCAGACAAAATCGTCCCCTACTCTTCCTCTGCCCTCCCCTCAGGCCAGAGTTACAGTGGAAACGTCCACAGGGACAGGCATGTGGGAGGCTGCCCCAGAACCCATCCCGTCCCACCCCCACCGGTCCAGCTGCAGTGAATGCCCCACGTCCCACCATTCTCCCCAACTTCATCTGTGAACCCCACTCCCCATCAATCTTTCTTCTGGAAATGGACGAGATGGTTTTAAAATGTATATAGGAATCCAAGGTGTCTAGAATGTGTAGAAAAATATAAATGGGGAGAAACAGGGCAGGAATCCTCGTACTGTTTCTTAAACTTAATATTGATACTGAAACTAGGGAGTGGGAGAGGGGAGGAGGGCCCACCAGTGAGATCTCACATTGTGTTCCATTTCTTTTGGAGGAAGGGAGAATGAATGCTCTTTAAAAAAATAATAATTAAACAAAATGTTTTATTAAAGACTGGTATTAAAATAAAAAACTTGTATTAGGAGATATCAATTATAAGTTTCTAATATTAAAATAAAAACTTATCCATCAGCCAGGAAGAGCCAGTGATAATCTTAGCCCACATGACCAAACAACACGAAATTAATTATGGAGGTATACATTAAAGCCATTCGAATTGTCACTTATCACCTCAATCAAGTCACAGGATAACAGGCAGAATGAATGAATGAATGAATGAATAATAGCAAAAATAGTAGCATAAGCTGAGTGTCCCTTATCCAAAATGCTTAGGATCAGAAGTGTTTTGTTTTGGAATATTTGTATTCTCTACTTACCGGTTGAGCATTCCAAATCCAAAAATCCCAAATCTAAAATGCTCTAGAGAACACTTCCTCTGAGTATCATTTTGGTGCTCAAAAAGTGAATTTTGGAGCATTTCTAATTTCAGACTTTGGGATCAGGAATTCTCCACCCATAACTTCCTGCCTATCAATCTATTATAGTAAACTCCTCACTCCTCCTTCTATTCTAGCAAAACCCCATTAAGCGTTTGGTAACCCATCCCTATCCCTTCCCAACCTCAGTCCATGTGATCTGGAGAGAGCTCCAGCTCCAATACCCAGAGTGTAGTGAGCAGCCCAGGTCCAGGCCCATCAGCCTGCCACATTTCTTTATTCACAGAATTGGGTTTGAGGAGAATTAAGTATCTAAGTAAGACTGTCCGAAAACCAGAATTGGGTTTGAGGGAAATAAGTATAATAAGTCAGACTCTGTCCAAAAAGAAAAAAACAAACAGGTCCTAGTGACATCAGCTGACTCTTGATCAAGCTAGTCCTAAAGCCCATTTTACTTAAGCCAAATTCAGGTTGAACCTTCTCTTGCAACTGAAATAATTCCAACATAGGCAGATGAGAGGCTAAAGTGAGCTGTGGAAGTATAAGAAATTGTTCTCGATTTTCCAAGTCTTTTATCACTTATCTTTAACTTGAAAATTAAATATTAACATCGAAATACAGCTCCTTTGATTCCAAAAGCTCTTATTCCCACTGCCCTCTAGAGAAATGTGGAGCAATCAGAGCGCCATGCTGGGTTGTCTGGCTCTGCTAAGGTGATCGTGTTCCATACACAGATACAGAGCTATTATGATCTTCACCTGTTACCACAAAGAATTTTTTTGTTTGTTTATCCATACTGAACTTTCAAGAGGCAAACAAAAGCAACTTGTGAAGACTTAACAATGGTGAAAATGGCTCAAATGCGTAACCTGAGAGCCCCAAGTCATATGAAAAGGTTTTAGTTTACATTAACTAAATGTTTGTTTGATATGTAGAACTGATTTCAGTTAAGCCTGTTTAAACAAAACAAAACAAAGCCAAAAAGGAATGTAGACCATGCTAAGACAACAGTTGCTACACCTTATCTGTGGTATTAAAAGACAGTGGTTAACAGAAGTGAACTTGAGCACTTTGAAAGGAGAACGAACACAAGCACACAGTTCAGCTTCTGTAAGGATACACGCTTGACAACGTATTTATTACAAGGAAAAATGAGTTCTTTTTCACGGACTGCACATGAAATCAGTTCACACTATAGGAGTAGCCTGTCAACAAATCATTAAGCCCCACGTTAGTGATAGTAGAGGCGAAAAGGTTTTAAAAAGTTTTCCAGCCTTTGGGCTGGTTATTTCCACTGAAGAGGACAATGTGCAGAAGCCCTGGTGACCCAGAGTCCCAGGAAAAAAAATATCTCGTGTAATTAGTTCATCTAACTTACCAGGATACATTAGAATCTGGATTTTAGGAAATTAAAACTCAGAAACAAAGAAAAGGACATATCTGGGGACTCTGGTATTGGACAATAAAGCAAAGACAGAGCCCCGTCCATTATAATAAATAATGCCTTCATCTGCCCACTACCTTTTGAGGCAGGGAGTTGGCTACAGTTAAGAATAAGGGCTCTGGAGTCAGTTTAAAAGCGGGTTCTGGCTGAGCATGGTGGCTCACACCTGTAATGTGAACACTTTGGGAGGCTGAGCGGGGGAGATAACTTGAGGCCAAAGGTTCAAGACCAGCCTGAGCAAGATCCCCATCTCTACAAAAAAGAGAAAAATTAGCCAGACATGGTGGGGCACACTTGTAGCTCTCTAAGGGCTGAGGCAAGAAGATCACTTAAGCTGAGCAGTTTGATGTTGCAGTGAACTAGGATGACACCAGTCTAGCCCAAGTGACAGAATAAGATCTGTCTTTTTTTTAAAAAAAAAAAAAGTAGGTCCCAATACAGAATAACTTATCATCTGTTATCTGTAAATGGGGATAATGATAAAAGAACCACATAGGTTTGCAATGAGGGTTACATGTGTCCATAATAAACTGTATCTAAGAATACAAACTCAACAAGACTCCAAAGCTTCAAACTTGCTGCCCTCAAGCATCTGACAAGCATATAAAGTTTTCTGAGCAGGCAGAGTTTCAACACTCATGTCACTCATGCCCATCCCTTTCCACTAATACCAGTCTGGAAAGCTCAGCACCCAGGACTGACTCTCAACAGCTCATTATTCATGAGCTGAAGTATTTCCCATGAGATACAATCTCCGTGGACAGAAAATCCCCTGGCATGCATTTTATTCAATTCCGTGACCTGACTTTTTCATTTCAACGTTGTAGATAAAAAATATCATAGGATTTTAATCAAATGCCAACTTCATCACTTCCCCCATTGCCAAGAAAAGTGGTTGGCTCTTTTCTTAAAATTAATTAAGGAAGCAAAAATATTTCTAGCTGCTGGATTCAGAGTTTGAGGTAAAGAAAAAAAATTCTTTTTCCTTAAACTCTGGGGATTAGAAAGGAAAGCTTCAGCATGGACACTGCACAAAACCCAAAAGGACCAAAGCTCAGGAGTCAGAAGACAATGGAAGCCTCTCCATGTTAAGGATTAAGAAACGTTAACACTATAGGCCTAACCGCGTGGCGGGGCTGGCGAAGCCCTAACCTGCTCCAGAGTTGAGGCCCTCCAAGGAGGCTCAGCGCTCACAGAGCAGAGATGGAGCCGTAAGCCATTAGGAAGACAAACCCTGATGTGATGGCAAAGAACATTCCACAGGTGACGCAAGCCCCTGAGGACGTGACAGCAGGGAGACAGCCCAGCTCTCTCCAGGGTTCTCAGAGTCTTCATTGTGCTACCAAATAATATTCCCTGATCTCGATCGTGCACTAAATAAAAACTCCCTGTTGTCTGATATTTTAAACAATTACAATATAAAGGGAATCCACGCCCATAGACAGCAGAAGTGAAGGCAGACTGACGGCTTAGAGGCCCTGCAGGATCCTGAGCCCCCTTCTGAATCTTCAGGGAAAAATGAAAACATGTTCACAGTAACTCCAGGGTCATCTGTGTCACCCTCTTACCCACACCGCAGTCTCCACGGAGCTGCCATAAAAGGGATCTTTCCAGAGGTCTTTTCTCCTCAAAATACCTAGAAAAAGTGTAAGAGGGAGGAAAAAACAGAACCGACCCACCTACCTGCCCCCAGGCATTGGAGAACAAAGCTAGTAAGATCTGAAGATGACATTTCCGAGCCACTCAATCACCATATAATTGTATCTCCATCACTCCTACAGGTAAAAGAATGTCATCTACTTTCGTTCTGCCAAGTGTGTTTAGGCTCTTGACTTATTCCCAGGTCAGCCGATCAGTTCCCTTAGGAGATGTGGGAACATCACTGTGGAGTTAATGTCTCACTGTAATAAGTGAAGCAAGTTATTTTACTGAGAAAGAAATTAGACCAAGGTCTATCAACAGAGAGATACCCTGGGAAGGTCCTTTCATAGCAGCTATAAGGAAGATGAAGGTCTGATCAGAAAATGAGAAACAAACCATGCCATCGGGAATGTGCATTCCTGGGGCCTGTGCGGTGGCTCACGCCTGTAATCCCAGCACTCTGGGAGGCCGAGGTGGGTGGATCACTTGAGCTCAGGAATTTCAGACCAGCCTGAGCAAAGGGCCATGTTGTCTCTACTTAAAATAGAAAAACTAGCTGGGCATTGTGGCAGGTGCCTGTAGTTCCTGCTACTGGGAGGCTGAGGCAAGAGGATCACTGAGCCCAAGTTTGTGGTTGCTGTGAACTGTGACGCTACAGCACTCTACCCAGGGCAACTTGAGTGAGACGCTGTCTCAAGAAAAAAAAAGAAGAATGTACATTCTTCCAGAAGAAATTTACTAAGTAAAGAGACTGAATTCCACATTGTATTACTTTTAAGAAGAAAAATAAACCATTTAATAACATAGAGGAAGACTCTGCTTATAAGGGAATGAAAATCTTTCCTAAGCATCTTAAGTTGGAAAACACACCTCCAGAAGGTACTCAGTTCCTAAGCCCGAAGTTCCCAAATTGTTTAGTTAGAAAACCATCCTAGAAAAGGAAAACAAACCACTTCAAACCCACACAGCCCGAAAGCTTCCAGCCTGCAAAGCCAAGGGCTCCATCCTATAATTAGTCCCGCAAAGACACACGGCCTTGAAGAAAGCGGAAAGCAAACAACAGAAAAAAGGGGGGACTCCTGGGGACATTTGTGCTTGTGTTTAACAGCGGAGCAGGGCCGAGTGTGAGCGTGCAAGCCCTCAATCCCAGGCCAATTTGTATGGCAAAAGCCCAGTCTCTAACTCTGTGCCTGACATATGGAGTTAATTCTTAACAGTAAGGAGATGGCCTTGAAGAACACAAGGCTGGGGGCTGGGGAAGGCTGGCACACAAGCTATTTAGGATCAGGATCATTCTCTCCGTTCAACCTCAGGCTAGTCTCGAGGGGGGAAGGTTTCGGATACAGTACAACACCACCCCACCTCCCCAACATACACAACGTCAAAGGCAGACTTGGTGAAGCAGCAGGATTAAGACGACAACATTCCACTGTTGGCAATGTTCTACAGTTAGATAAACAGCGTGATTTTAGAGATTTCCTCCATCCGCTGATGATAACAAAACATCACAGTCAGTCACAGAAAAAAGCCAGAAAGGACAGGAAAATGTACCAGCCCGTAAGTATGTCAAAGACAGAAGCCACGCCACTAGCGTGACCCATAATATTGAGAGCTTTCTAGAGAAAGGAAGAACTGGCTCGGCGCCTATAGCTCAACCGGCTAAGGCGCCAGCCACGTACACCTAAGGTGGCGGGTTCGAATCCCCAGCCCGGACCCGCCAAACAACAATGATGGCTGCAACCAAAAAATAGCCAGGCGTTGTGGCGGGCGCCTGTGGTCCCAGCTACTTGGGAGGCGGAGGCAGGAGACTCGCTTGAGCCCAGGAGTTGGAGGTTGCTGTGAGCTGTAATGCCATGGCACTCTACCCAGGGGGACAGCTTGAGGCTCTGTCTCAAAAAAAAAAAAAAGAAAGGAAGAACTAACTTTCCAGTCTGAATTTATACACTGTTAATATGGAGAGAGACATAACTTTGCTCGTGGGACTAATTCAGTGCAGTCATCAGGTCCACAGATGCACATCTTTCCTGAAATTCTAGCGACCTGGCACTGTCACCAGAGGGACTAAGGGGAAAGAAACTGGGAGGCCCATCGGGCACCATGACGGGGAGAAAGCCAGACCCACAGCTTCGTGTCAGCAGTGGCCACCACGCTCTGGAAGGCAGAACTGCTTTGTCCTGGTTCTGGAGATTACAACCGTGCTTCACAAAGTGTAGAGCAGCTCACAAGATATTAAATATCTTTTAAAGGCATTAAAAAGATCTTATGCATCTCTGTGCTCAAAATTTTTCAGTGGCTCCCTATCTCCCTTAGACTAAAAAGGCAAGTCCACGTCCTTACAGGGGGCTCCAAGGACCTGTATAATCCGCTGCCCCCAAGGCCCCCCGTGCTATTTCTGTAACCTCTCCCCCTGCAACCAGAAGCCTCGCGCCTCCTCTCTGATGCTGCCGTCCCTGACCGATTCCCTGGACACCAGGAATCCTCCTACGCTCACCTTTGGGGTCATCGTTCTTTCTGTCCCAAATGCTCTTCCCCAGATAGCCATGTGGCTCCCTTTCTCATCTCCTTCCAATTTCTGCTCAAAACACATCCTCTTAATGGGAATTCTCTCAGTTTCCATTACCTTGTCCTGTTTCATTGGATTTTTTTTTCCTGTAGCACTCGTCAATTTCCAACAAACTATATAACTGACTAATATACTAGGTTTACTATTTATCATCATCTCCCTGGGCTAGAATATCTCCTTTTTTACCTGTATATCCCAAAGTGCCCAGAAGAGTACCTGGCACTTAGTAATTCTCACACACAGTAGGACCTCTGTAAGCTGACCACCCAAGGGACTGTAACAAACCCCTCCACATCCAGAACGAGGCTGTCTGGGCTGATGCAAACTCTTGGTGCATGTCTGCTCTACAAAAACCAGCTCAACATAAGCAGGTGGGCAATGTAGAGAGGTGGTCAACTATGGAGATCCTACTGCAAATTTATATACAAATTTATTTATCTCTGTATCTATATATCTAACTAATTTATTTAGTTAGAGACAGGGTCTTGCTGTCACGTAGCTCACCGCAGCCTCAGACTCCTGGGTTCAAGTGATCCTGTCATCTCAGCTTCCCAAGTAGCTGGGACTACAGATGTATACTATCACGGTCAGCTAATTTTTCTTACTTGGGGGGCGAGAGTGGGGGGCAAAATCATATTATATTGAGCAGGCCCCCTACTGTTTCAACTCCCAAAGTGCTTGGATTATAGGCAGGAGCCATCACTGCCAGCCTCAGTAATTATTTATTGGAAGGATAAAGGTGAACATTTTTGTATTCTAAATCTTCATCAATTATTCTTATTATATCAAAAAGAAAGTCTCAGATCGGTAATGATCTTCAATAGTTCTCTACCAAGTTAGTCTCTTTTTTTCCTTTTAACAGGTTCTTTTTTTTTTTTTTGAGGTATAATTTACCCACCATAAAATTCACACATTTTAAGTGCAGAGTTCAATGATCTTCAGAAAATTTATGAAGTTGTGAAACCATTACCACTAATCTCCCTTCTTAGCATGAAGAAAGGAGACTTTAGGCTCAGAGCCTCCTCCCGACAAGAACACCCACTGGAATGTAATATCATTTCCCTGTTTTCATTGGGTGTATTTTTCTGGTTACTTTTTCTTTTGGCTCATGATACTGGATTTCCACTTAAAGCGGCAAGATAAGGTTTCCTTTTAAAAGCAATTTATATATGTAAAAAGATATAGCTAACAATGTATGCAGTCCAAAGACAACGCAAATATTGACAGGGTTTTTAATGGGAACAGTAAAGTTTCTGAAACACTGATGCACAAAATCCAAACCTACTGATCTGACACACTATAAAACTACGACTAATTTTATAAATAAACAGCAAGGCACTGGCACTCGCTCCGAGGACCTACCCTGAATTTCCATCGGTCCCTGGTGGGAAACTATCCTTCAGCACGTCTTGTGAGCAAGCTCTGACTGCCCTGTACGTCAACTCTCATTGCAAGAAGGTTTATATAGCAAACGCCTTAGTAAAGACAGTTTACTTCTCCAGAACAAAGGGCAGGTTTGTGAACAGATTAATAAGACGAAGATGAGGTCTGAACTGGGAGTGAAGGCCAGGCATGTTTACTGTCTGTTTAAAGAGACGCAGGTTCCTGTGGCTCCAGGTTCTTCTCAATAATGGGACCGTCAGTACATACGTCTCACTTGGATGACTCTGCATCACCCTATAGAAACAGAGCTCTGCAAATGCTATGATTTGAAACTTTATGTCACTCCAAAATTCATGTTTGTACACCCATAATATTCTGAAATTAAAAAAAAAATTAGGCTCAGCGCCCATAGCTCAATAGTTAGGGTGCCAGCTACATACACCACAGCTGGTGGGTTCGAACCCAGCCCAGGCCTGCTAAAAACAACAACTACACGCCTGTAGTCCCAGCTACTTGGGAGGGTGAGGCAAGAGAATCGCTTAAGCCCAAGAGTTTGAGGTTGCTGTGAGCTGTGACACCACAGCACTCTACTGAGGACAACATAGTGAGACTCTGTCTCAAATAATAATAATAATAATTTTAAAAATAAAATCTACTCAGTGAAAAATAAATTCATACATTAAATCTTAACACCCAAGGTGATGGTATTTAAATGTGTAGCCTTTAGGAGGTGACAGATGATGAGGGCCTTCCTGTCATAAATGAGCTTAGGTACCTTACAAGAGAGACTGGAAGAATCTTGTTGGCTCCAGGTACCACGTAAAGACAGAGTGAGAAGGTGCCACCTACGAATCAGAAAACAGCCCAGCCCAGGGCCCAGTCTGCTGGAAACTTCACCTTGGATCTGCCAGCTGTGAAAAGGCTGGGCATGGTGGCTCATGCCTACGATCCCAGCACTCTGGGAGGCTGAGGAGGGTAGACTGCTTGAGCTCAGGAGTTTGAGACCAGCCTGAGCAAGAGTGAAACCCAATGTCTATGGAAAACAGAAAAACTAGCCAGGTGTCAGTGGTCATCTGTAGTCCCAGCTACGTGGGAGGCTGAGGCAAGAGGACTGGTCAAGTCCAAGAGTTTGAGGTTGCTGTGAGCTAGGACACCACAGTACTCTACCCACTGTGACAGAGTGAAACGGTCTCAAAAAATAAATAAATAAAACTGTGAGGATAAATTTCTGTTGCTTAGAAGCTGCCCAATCTGTGGTATTTTGTTACAGGCTCCAGAATGAGCTAAAACAGAAGAGAACAAAGCTGGTGCTCTGGCTGCTGCTGCTGTAATCACCCTCCTGCACCTCCCGCCAGGAGTCTCATGTCTCACACTAATACGAACTGTGGCAGATTAACTTGTCAGCTTGCAAGTAGGGTAGACTCTCGGACCTTTCGGAATTCTTTTTCTTTTTCTTTTTTTTTTGCAGTTTTTGGCCAGGGCTGAGTTTGAACCCACCACCTCCGGTATATGGGGCCGGCACCCTACTCCTTTGAGCCACAGGCACTGCCCTCTTCCAGAATTCTTGAGAGGCCTCACCTCGTTGTGAATTTCTTCTCCTTGTTTCAAAACTGCAGGCTCAAAGGACTTCAAAGAGACATCACCATTGTCCACATCACCTCGGACATTCTGCAGGGCCACCTGGCAACGTTGTAAGATGTAATCCAAGGTTCCAGCTGAGCACTGTGGAGACAGAACCAGCCATCAAGATTCTGAGCGAAATCCGAGTTTATCATGCTGCTCCTTCTGGGACGGTTTGCATTCACCCCTTTCTATTCACTTAACCGTTGCCCCACACAGCTAAGCCTATGCTGTGAACTCAAGAATTATGCGCGGGGCCTGCTCACTGAGCTCTGTGCTGCAGTGTGGCCTCACTGGTTTTCTTTTGTTATGTGGGCCTCACATCTCTAACTAAACAGTAAGCTTTCTGAGGCTAAGGCTCTCTTCTTGTATATATATATTTTACATATGTTACAGCATCTAGAACTGAGTCTCATACGTAGAGAAAAATAGTTATTGCACTAATAACTAGTTAACAAAGAAGTCGATGGCACTGACTTGGTTGCAATGGGAAAGGTAAGGTAACCAGACTGCAGAATGAGTGTGAAAGTCACACTAATACAACAGTAATCGTGAGCAGGGGGAGGAGGTTACAAACACGAGGCAAGAACTCAGTTCCCTCCTCTGCAGGAGCACGCGCACGGCAGCCTAGTCCTTGGCACAACCGGTCCTTCAAATAATGGAGAATATGTGGCTCGTGCCATCGAGACACATCCAAAGGCCTAACTCAGTACCCGCGTGTCACCAAGGACACAGAGACCAGTTCATCCGCTCTGCCGCATCTGTGGGAGCAGAACCGAGGCCAAATGGACAAAGTCCTGTTTTTAAATGATCGTGTGTCAGAAAAGAAGAGGATGCAGATGGACTGTGCATCCGTTTGTTTTGATAATGAAATGATTTCCTAGAATGATAAAAAGTAAGCTATAAATATCCTGCAGACCCAAGGAGGGAAACGTATCCCTAAAATATTTTCATTTTATTATTTATAATTTAAACTGTACCCTTGGACATAACCTTGACAGCTGAGCCTCTGGTCTAAAAATTCTTTGTACATTGACTGCCGTTTTACAACAAGGTGACATCAGCAAGGCTGGGGAAAAACAAAGCTTCGGTGCCAATTAACAGAAGCTTGACGCCTTATGCATTTCACTAGGAAGATCCCAGGGTGCTGGGAGCACAAGGGCAGGCAGCTCCAATTTGCTGCAAAAAAAGACACACACACACACACACACACACACACACACACACACAAAACCCCAAAGAATGGGGGTAAATGATCGCTCACTCTCGAGACACAGCTCCCCCTACAACATCTTTGTAACATGACATTCTGTCTAGAACGTTCTCTTACTTCGACCTTTACTTTCCCACTATGGAGTGAGGTACACAAAAGGGTTATTAATAGCACCGCCATTTACTATAGCTAAAGACTGGAAACAACCTAAATTTTCCTATAATAGGAAACCGGTTAAGTGAACTAAGCTATAACCATATTTGTGACCCAAAAAGGGGAAAGCAGAGGGTGGATGGAATCTTTTTTTTTTTTTTTTTCTGGATGTACAGTGCTCAGGCCTAGTTTGCTTATTTGGGTTTTGTTTATTTTGTAACAGTTTTATCGAGATATAATTCACAAATCACAAAAATCAACCGCTTAAAGTATACCGTTCAACATAGGTCAGTATATTCACAGTTGTACAGCCACCACTACAATGAATTTTAGAACATTTTCACCACCAACCCCAAAAAACACTCTGCAGTTTTTAGCAATCACACCCTCCCATTTCTATACACCTTTTCAGCCCAAGGCAACAGCTAATCTACCGTCCGTGTCCACACATAGGCCTATTCTGAACGCTTCCTATAAATCAAATCACACACTATGTGATCTTTGGTAACTGGTTTCTTCCACTGACCGTGGTTTCAAGATTCAGCCGCGTTATGGCCCATCTCAGTACTTACCCTGTTTAATGCCAAATATTCCACTGAATGGATACGCCACATTTTGCATATCCATTCATTAAGTGGTTAACTTTTGAGTTGTTTCTCCTTTTTGGCTATTATGAATCAAGTCATTATGAATATTCATGTACAAATTTCCATGACTGGCGAGTATACACATCTAAGAAATTGCTGTGTCGTAGGGTGACTTTATATGTGGCCTTCTGAAGAAGTGCCAGACTGTCTCCCCAAGTGGCTGTACCCTGCACACTGCCCCCAGCAGTGCACGAGGGCTCCACTTTCCGCACATGCTTACCAAGCACTGGGATTCTAGCCATCCCAGTGTATGTGAAATGGTATTGCACTGTGGTTTCAATTTGCATTTCTTAATGACTAATGATGTTGACCACTTTTCATGGGCATATTAGCCATTTGTATGCCTTCTTTATGAATGTGCTAATTCAAGAGGAATTAATATAAGAGGAAATATAAGAGGGAATACATCTTAAACTGGATTATTTATCTTTTTAATTACTGACTTGTAAGAATATTGAATATTTTTCTTTGAATATTTAAGATATAATTACTTTATGAGCTATATATATTCTATATATATATTATATAGAATATATATAGAATATATATAGAATAATATAGAATATTCTATTCTAATATATTCTTTGAATATTTTAGATATAATTACTTTATGAGCTATAAGATTTGCAAACATTTTCTCTCATTCTATGATAACATTGGTTGCTTCTGGGGAGGGGGAACTGGTTGGCTTGAGAAGAAAGAGACCACGGTATACCCTTAGATAATGTTTTTAAATTTTAAGCCATTTGAGTAATCACCTATTTGAAAACTAATTATGCATAAACCTTGAATTTTAAAAAGACATTCTGTATTGAATCCCAAGAACATTCTGTCATAACAAGAAAAAACAATATCAAATAAAAGAGGCATCAGAGAGAATCCAGGAACCACAAAATTGAACAAATTTCTTCTCCAATTAACTCAAATGCACTTTAGAACATCATATCCTTAACATAATCTGTATCCTACATATTGCAATAGGCAGAAAGTAGCAAATCATTTTGTTTGGCACATGTAAGATAAGTAACAGTAACACTGTAGGAAAGAGCAGACACTTGAAGAATAAGTGAGGGATACAAAGTTGCTTGAATTTCTTTCCCTTTTCTATTAAAAAAAAATAACGTCACTTTAATGTTGGAGAAAAAATCTTTTTGCTTCTCCTACTGAAGAAGCTTATTGAAAATAATAACGTAACATGAAATACAAATTTATAAATAAGATGAGGACACAATCCTGCCATTTTTCCCTGCATACACAGTTGTAATCAGTGTAGACACATCTACGTACATAGTGGTTCTTACTGTTTGCACATAAATATTCAAAGCAGGCATTGATAATGATTGCAAATTAAGGTCACATTCAACAACTGAATTAAATAATCACATACTACAAAGACATTAAGGTTTTCTCCAACTTTTCACTACTATTGATCATGCTAGATAAACATTTTTATATATACAGTTCCATTTAATTATTTCCTGGGTTTGATTCCTAAAAACTGTTATGAAATCAAAGATGTGTATTTTTATGGTGCTTTATACATATTCCCATATAGTTTTCTAAAAAATAGACCAATTAGAAAAACTACCAGAAGTATACAAATTATACCAGTCTTACTGTAAATCTGTCAGCACTAAATATCATTATTTTTACTTTTGACAGAAATATTTTGGCAGAAATTAAGTGACCTTAAGATAGTTTTTTTTTTTAGAGACAAAGTCTCACTTTGTTGCCCTTAGTAGAGTGCCATGGCATCACAGCTCACAGCAGCCTCCAGCTCTTGGGCTTAGGTGATTCTTTTGCCTCAGCCTCCTGAGTAGCTGGGACTATAGGTGCCTGCCACAATGCCCGGCTATTTTTTTGTTGCAGTTTGGCCAGGGCCAGGCTTGAACCCACCACCTTTGGTATATGGGGCTGGCACCCTACTTACTGAGCCACAGGCACTGCCTGATAGCATTTTTTTTATTTACTTTTAATTTTAAGATGATTTTTAAGGCATGCTTACCCAGGATCAACTATAATACAGGTCAACACACATTTTCTTAAATGACCAAACAATAAATATTTTAGGCTTGCAGGCCACCATGTTGCAACTACTTGAGTTTTCCACCTCAGTTCCAAAGCTGAAAATAACATGTAAGCAAATGAATGCAGCTGTGTGCCAATAAAACTTTACTTGCAAAAACAGTCAGGTGGCCTGAGAGCACAGCTTGCTGACCCCTGCAAGGTATTCCCATTGCTCACATAAAAACATGGAAATCATAGATTTGGGGTAATGTTCTCCGCCCAAGAAAATCACAATACATACTAGTTTCTTTAAGTTTATTAGTGCTTTAAGTTTGACCTAAACACTAGAAGATACAAACACATCTATGAATAATCAGAGAAAACTAAGCCTCGGGATATTTAGAAATCAATGCTGTTCTAATGACTATGAAACTGGTCCCCTAGAGAACAGGAATCAGGGCCAGGAGGGTGCTTTTCAAACTATACCCTTCAGATGCTTTTCAAACTATGTGTGTATTTACCATAGTTCTGTTTTTGGGGGGGTTTTTTGCAGTTTTTGGCTGGGGCTGGGTTTGAACCCGTCGCCTCTGGTATATGGGGCCGGTGCCCTACCCCTTTGAGCCACAGGCGCTGCCCAGAAGTTTCCTGTTACCTCACAGATTTTATTTCCACATTTCCATTTGTCTGTTGGACTCTTAGCTTGGCAGTTCCAACCCAGCCTGTTCCAACTTCCCCTAATTAATGTCTTAGACCTCCTATTTCTACTAATAGTAACGCCATCCCTAAACAATCACCCAGACTGGAAACTCAAGAGTCGTCCAAGAGCCTGGCACGTTCACTCATTCATTTACTCATGGGTACATTCCCCTCCATTCCCATGAGTCCATTGCCGAGTTTTCTAGTCTCTCACATTATTCATGGGAATTTCTTCTGTCTCCCTCCTGCTGCCTCCTTAGTTCAGACCCTGAAACTTTGAAGTGACCCCCCCATCATTCTCATCTTCTCAAAGTTATCTCCAATACGTCACTACCAAGATAAAAAATAATCAATAGCCCACAAGTGCCAACCAATTAAGTTCAAACACCTAATCTGATATCCAGGATTTTTCACCCTCTTGCAGTCCCAAGCAGAAACCAGCCTTGGCTGCCAATGTTCCCTCTGGCACCCTAGGACCCGGTGGAAGCACAGCCACTCAGTATTTCCCAAGCATCCCCATCCCATCCCAGTCCTGAGATTTCCACCTCAGTCCTGGCTCATCCCATTAGCCATCCTAAAAGGTCCTAAATCCCCTAATACCTGCATGTTCAATCCCTGCACGTTACCTGGCATGAAAGGCTAACATATACTTCACCTGTGCTACTTGATTCTTTCTGTTCTACGCTACACTTACTCTTAGACTGTGCGCATCTTGAGGACACTAAACATACCAACCATTCCTGCTCACAAGGGCCTAAAATATTAGCTTGAACACAAACAGAAGTTTGATGAATGAATGAACGAACTGAGATTCCTTCTGAACAGCAGTGTTCAGTGAATAGCAGTTTGTTTTTCATTTTTTGTTTTTTGTTTTTGAGACAGAGCCTCAACCTATCCCCCTAGGTAGAGTGCCATGGCATCACAGCTCACAGCACCTGGGCTCAAGTGAGTCTCCTGCCTCAGCCTCCCAAGTAGCTGGGACCACAGGCGCCTGCCACAAGGCCCGGCTATTTTTTGGGTCACAGCTGTCATTGTTGTTTGGCAGGCCCAGGCTAGATTTGAACCTGCCACCTTAGGTGTATGTGGCTGGCACCTTAGCTACTTGAGCCACAGGCGCCAAGCCGGAACAGCAGTTCTTACAGTCAAAACTCACTATTAATTTAATGTTTCTTACTCCATTATGTTTACTCTAGCATATAAATGGAAAAAAGAATAACCTTCCATACAAAGAGCTGTAGTGCTTCCTATTTGTTTTTCATTAGAATAAAATGAAAAGATGGTTAGTGGCCAGTGTTCTTTGAATGTATGCCAATCTATCATTCTGGTAGACTTATGTGTATTAACTAATTTAATCCTTGTAAGAACCCTATGAACTAGAAATGATTATTATCCCATCGCCTGCCTTCCAGGTTAGATTAGGAAACATGCATGGTGCACAGTTAAGTAGCCACATGTTCAAGAGATCTGTGAGAACAAGATTCCTGGGAGGATTATAGCTAGGAAGAAGGATGCCTATGACCAGGGAAATGAAATGTGTAAATCCTTCCTTCCTCCCTCCCTCCCTCCCTTCCTTCCTCCCTCCCTCCC